CGCTCTTTGCTAGGAGGGAAGTGGTGAGCTATTTGGCTTATTTAGCTTTCCTTTTGCTTACTTGTAAACTTAGATGTGAAGAAGAGGGAGCCTTAGCTTGTATTTCTTAAGGGACTCTGGGTCATTCCTGAACTGCTCTAACAGTTCACTGTTAGTAGAAATCAAATTATACTTCCCCTCTCCCAATGTCCCTCTCAACTACCCAATCCTGACTATTCCTTGTGATGATTGCTCAGATCCCTAATGGGCCTTTCATGGAACTGATTCAGCCCATTAATCAGACAGAAGAAGTATAAACTTTCATTGGATTAATTGTCTGCCAGGTTCTGCCATGAACTGGCTCGTGGAAAAGTCTGATGGGTACCAGCATTGGTGCAAAGTGCACTCAGCAAGAATGAAGGAGGCTGGAGYCTTCTCTCTTTCCGGGAAATGAGCTCAAAGTGTCAATTGTAACTTTACCCTGAAGCTGTAATTTAGTGATATGCAGGCTTTGCTGCTCCAGTCTATCATGCAAGTTTGTGTGGCATAGGAGTTTCAGGGTTGGTTTAATTTTAGAATTGCTTTTTATCAGGGTAATTTCCAGTCTCACAAACAATTGTATTAGCATAAATGAGGGTGTGAGGACTGTGATTTGAGGGGCACAGGTCAGATCAACTGACCAAGAGAGCAGAGGAGAAACTTTGTGACAAACTCTGTCACTGAGGCCCTAAAAAGAAAACCCCAAATCCCTTAGTTTCCCTTTCCTTAATTAAATATGCTCCTTATTTCAGTTACTCACACAGACAGCTTTCTTCGGTGGTATCTTCACAAATTCTACTAGCAATAATGCTTTTGTAACCATCATTTTTACACTCTGTTAAATCATGTAGCTTCTTAAGACTAGTGAAATGGAGAGTATAGAAGAAAAAGTTAAAGAATTAAAGATGAATACTGAAATTAATTTAGGCTTTTTTTATCAATGCACATGGAGCTTAAAGTTGGCCATTTCTAGATGTCCCATGTCACATCTAAGGAGCCTGCCCTTTCCAGGACAACTGTGTTTGCTTCCCTTTTACATGTGTATAGGAGATATAGCTTTGTACTTGTTTTGTAAGGGAGTGTTAGAATAAAAGGTGGTTAACTCTGGCTCTGGGGTATAGCTGGTTTCTCTTTTCTCCCAGCAGAGATGCTGCAGAGAGAATACAGAGGGTGTTGGACAGTCCAGGAACTTTCTTTGACCTGAAGTCTGATGGATCATCCAGTCCCAGCTCTCCAGAGTTCCCCAGCAGGAAGAGCAAGTGAGTTGAAAATAATTTCAGTATTTGAAAGATGCTCACTGTCTCTGATATTGGCTTAAGTGTGGTGCATGTCTTGCTCTGTTGGAGGCTTTACTGAAATTGTCCACATCAGGCATTGTACCATCTCAAAAAGTTGGATGTCTGGCTGTAATTCAGAGCCTGTCAGGAACTTGSCTTTCTTAAACAGCCAGTGAAGAAAGATTGGACCATTTAAAGGTGATTTTGGTTACATCTTTACTGTAATGTTAGCTTGCATCCAACAGGATACACAAAGTCCTAGCTGTCCATGTTTACTCATGTGTATGTTTCCTCTGTAGTTTGCTCTGGAGTGATTTTGGAGCTTCATGGAGAAGCTTGGACAAGGGTATGTTGGGATGTTGGGTTGTACTCAAGTTCTGCCCCTTTAAGCAGGATTCATGCCGCTGCTCCCAACCAGCGTGAACTAACCTGTCTCCAGTCTTCCCAAAGTGTTACAGCAGGATTACAGCACGGTCCCATGTGTTGCACCTATGTTTCATTGCTAAAGCACGCCATACCACACCCAGTGGTATGTGCAAAACACTTCATGCAGTAGTCTGCAAGTTAATTCTCCAGTTTCTGGTTGTCAAAAACTGGAAAAATGCAATTTCCTGGTAGTGAAGCTTTGCTGCTGCTAAGCTGTATTATATTGGAATGTGATCYGACCTAGAATACTTCAGGGACACCACCCATTTACATATCCAAGACTCCAGGGCAGCCTGTCTCTAAATCAAAGGCTGCAGTTGACTTTCTGGAGCATTTGCCACACCTTATTTTTTTTCAAGAGCACTTGGATGAGACTTGTGGCAAAAAAATTACTTTGTATTAGGGCATTTCCCTTTCTCAGGACTGTGGAGACTCTTAAAAAAATTTCAGAAGTCTGCTAGAACCAGGACTCTATGGTTGTAGTTGCTTCAGGAGCCAGATTTGACAAGGAAGGGCCTCCTTTCCAACTAGACTCAATGCTCCCTAAGAATGACAAGCTGGTGACTATCTGCAGTAGTTCAGCTGCTCATTGTGTGATGTAGACCTGCCCAGAATTTTGTCACAGCCAAGGTGCAGACTTCTGGTATGTTTTTGTGTGTRTATTAGTTTTGGGTTGGGTGAGTGTCCAGAATTTTGATGTAGAGGAGGATGGGAACACATCTAGGAGATAAAGTCCATTTAAGGTCTAACTCTGGCAGCCAAGGACGAGGGAGAATGCAGGACATGGAACTGCTGATTTGTCAGCCCTTCCCATCTTCCTGCATCACCACATCATTCCACCTTCCCTTYCTCATCCTTCCTGGGACTTTATTAGTGAACTAGAAGCTCCTAGTCACAGGCATGTGTAAGGGTCTCTTGCTCTGRTTAGATAGCTGATTACCTTGCCTAATCATCAAGAATTCTGCTTCCCCTACTTCCCAACCCCCATCCTCCATCAGCTGAGGAGGTGAGCCAGCTGCAGTGGCTGTTTCAAGTTGGTACCCACTTGCTTTCAGAGAGCAAACATAGCATGGGATTTTACTAACAATACTTGCATGAATATTGTTTATGCACACGAGGCATGAGCTGTATGATTCGTCAGTCTGTCTAGTTCTGTCTCCAGTATTCTGTCTATGCATCTTTTTCCAGTCATGGATTCAAATCCACTTAGAATCACCAGAAAAAAAAAAAGTATTTTCATTATTGTGGTGGCTTAGCCCATTCCTGGACGGTTTATTTACAAGGTGGGATGCAGCATGGAGTTTTGCACAATTAGTGATTAATCAAAATTAGAGTTGTGATCTCAGGGACCAGCCCATGTGAACCATAGTTTTTGCATGATATGTGGGACAGGGACTTAAAAGCATGTAATTCCACCATGTGAAGCACACCATTTTCAGCAAGACAGTATTAGCACAGTATTGCAGGAAAAGGCTGGGAGTATCAATTTTAATAGTCTGTCTTGGCATTGTTCTGAAATAGCCAACCTGTTGTGAAAMCAGGATCAAGATGAAGGTGTACTTCCAATGCAAAAGAGTTCTGCCTGGTCCTAGAATAATTTATGTAGTCCCTACTAGATAACAGAATGGGTATCCCTGGTAGTGTGTCATCAATCCACTCCTGGTTCTCTCCATAGAGTCACAAGGAATTTCTGTTACCACAGAAATGTCCAGCATGCTGCTACTGGTCTTAAGTAATCATTTCAGATTCAAGACTTGKAATGATCAACCTCTTCATCTGTGTTCTACCAGAACCAACCTGGAAATAAATGCAAACGGAACACATAAGTAATAGATAGATTATTTTACAGTAGAGGCAAAGCAGCACTTACTTTCTGTCCTGGCATGCTGAGTTCAACACACGTTTGTGCAGTGATCAGCCAGCAATCCATGAAACTGCATTGTTCACTTGAGCTAACAATGTCTTCTCTCCCACATACAGGGACAATTGTCCTTAGCTTTTCTGCTTTRCCGTCCAGGTAGCATTCCAAATAATCCTTCTTCCCAAGGGACAGGCTCAAAAATGAACCCAGCCTGTGTAACCAAGTAGTAGAACTCCTCAGGATCAAACGACTTTCTGGGTTGCATCTGAAAAGTGAAGCACTGTACTGTGTGTGTCCATATCCTAGGAAAAGTACATGGGTTTTTTGTATGTGTGTTTTCCCTCCTCAGACACATCTGAGTGGGGACATCAAGCCAATCAGGAGTGGACCGGATGCTACTCAGTCACTGGGTACTTCACTGAAGATACTGGCAAGCCTTTTGGGGTGAAATCAGAGTCCTGGCTAAGAGGAGCATGAACGTACTTATAGAGGACCTCAAGGACTGTGGAGAGACCGAGTGGCACCAAGTAACGCTCCACTGGCAGTTCCTGGAGCAGGAATTCTGTGAGAGGGAGATGGACAGATAGCTCCTGTTGGAGCATTTTGGCTCTATGCCCTTCTCATTGCCCCATCAGCAGCCACTGAACCAACCTCTATTAGTGATGGGGAGTGGAGGCCACCTTGAGTACAACTCCTTCTCTTCCCTTCCTCTCCCCTCAGATGAGTGAGAATTGTTTGGCTTGCAGAAGGCAAGAGCAGAAGAATACAATTCCACCTTTTTCTCTAGTGCCTTGACACAGGTCAAGAAATGCAATGCAGAGAACGAGGATGGAGAGACCTGCTGAGGAAGGGTGCTGAGAAGGAGATGGGTTGTGGAGATCTAGATCCCAGTTCACTTAGATTCATGTTATTGATTTGCTCTGCTAAGGGAGAAGCATGTTGGCCTTCATTTCCTCCAGAATATATTTCCTAATCTCTTGAGGAAATATCTTTGGCCTATATTGGCCCTGTCTTTACTGTTCTCCCTGTTGCATGCTGGCATGTAATATGCCTGGGACTTTAGGTTTCATTACTGCTTGTAGGTCAAGACTGGCCACATTTTGCAGTATTTCTGAAGGAATAAATATATTTAGTATGTTAAAGGTGTCTTATCTTTCTTGCCTCTCTTAACTTTTTTTTTGTTCCTTAACATTCTTAAGCACTTAATCTTTCTCTTCCTAGCTGGTCTCTTATGCAGACAGTGAATATTTCACCATAAATTTGAGGCTTACTTGCACAGTGCACCTTCTACCATGTGAGCATGTCAGCCTCATGGACTGCTGTATCTCCTGGATGACTGCGAGCAATGGAACCTAAATTCTCAGTTGTGAAGAGCTGACCTTAAGGGTATTTTTTGATAGATCTGAAGCATGCACCATGGTACCTCAGTGTGTGTTCCATTTGAGAGAGTGGTAGTAAAGTAGTCCAATACAGTTTGCTTTGAATGTCCCATTTGAATGGCCTTCTGGGAACTAAATTTTAGTGGGACAGACCTACAAGAAGCCATACTATTGGCAACTGGGCACATGGAAAATCACCAGGATGGGAATCCTGACCTAGGTGTGTTCCTGTCTGTAAGCAGGCGGAAAGCTCTGACATGCCTGTGCAAGAGCTTGACTTTTGATCCTAAATAGTTTGCCACTGAGACATCCTGCAATAATGCAGATCTCAGTAATATGTTTCTACCTCTCCATTGCTTCCTTAAAGTTTCATAGTTAACTGTTCTGTAATGCTGGTTAATGTTTGTATGCTTTCCTGCCTCCYCCTGTTACGCCTGTCCAGAAAAACAGCGTTAACAATTTATAAGCTCTATGACATGAAAAGTGTGCTTTTTATAGTCCCTTTGTTCTGTCTGGAATTTCACATAAGCCTGAGAGTGGCTGTGGAAATGTGTGTCCTAGACTGGGTTGCACCTGCCCTTTATACTCAGTTTAACAGCTTTTCATACTTTATTTAGGCTCCTGAAATCTCTGATCTCCAAAATAAGGCGTCTGTTGATTTTAAGGAGTGTCTAGATGTATTTAGTACATAAATGCAGGTGGTTGACTCCACTTGATTACACTAAGGTCTGTGACTTAAAATTTAATTTAGACTTGTCCTTCCATACAGTTATCCAGAATGGAGACAGAGAAGTGGTGTTTCTCCTAAATGATGTAGCAACTAGAAATTAAGGTATGCATGCCAGTTCACCTGAATTCTGTTCCTAGGTGGAAAAACTACCTGTGGATGAATAGTTTATTTTTACAGTTTCTGACGGCTGTATAATAAAGCTGTGCCTCAAAAAGCTAAGCCTGTGTATAACAATAAGCTTGATGATGTTGAATGCTTGCATTTCACAGAATGCTCAGGAGTCAAACTTCAGGATATTGTGTGATGCAGCCACTCTCACGTTCATCATCCAGTGTAAGCAGTTGTTGTAGTGGATTGAGGGAAAATGGAACATCTGAGGAAGAGGAGAATGACAGGGTGGGTGTATGATCTCTAATGAACAGAGGCTACCYTCTCTGATTTTACCAGGTGCATTATTAAAACACATCTTTTTTGCCCTCTCTAGGAGCTGACGTGCTCACTTAAGGGCCCTCCAAAACAGGATTCAGTGGTTCACAGTATGTGGCTGGATGACAGTGACTGCACACCCAGTACTTCTAGCTCACCAGGTAAAAAAGAAAGAAAAATAGATAAAAACCTCTACTTGYGCTTCTAGAAGCAGAGGAGAGGTTGAGCCAAATCTTTTGTATGCTGTACTTAAAATTTTAGAAGCACAGGTAGGTGATAACTGAAATGGGGAGAGAAGCTGTCATGCAAGCTTTACTTGGGAAAGGATGTTTCAGTGGCATGAATAAATAGTGCTGTGCATACTGCAGAAGGAGTTACAGTAGACTGCAAAAGATGAAAATTTTTATGTGTTTTCTGTGGAGAGCTGTGGTTGCATTTCTGAATCCAGTGCCTATATAAATGGTATACTTTGGATGTGGGGTTATGGGAACTGCTTCCTGAACATAGCAGTGTGCTCCTGGGAAGGTGGGTAATCAGGGAGCTAACTTGCACTCAAATTTTTTTTTGCCAAGGCTGGTCTCTTAGTATAGTACTTGATTAAAGTTGATGTAGTTGAATAAGGTCAGCTAGGATCCATTCACGGTGCAGAGATGATTTCAATCATCAGCAGTTCTCTTTAATCCCCATACCAGGGACAATTATTTCATTACCTGCTGTGGAGCTCTATCACCTGCCCTGATCTCAGACCCTGTTTGCTATTGTGTTTCATTTTGTTAAAATGGACTGTTTTGGATTGAAGCATTTCTTGTTGAGCATCAGCCTTAAGCCAAGATTACAGAAAATTTACATCTGTTTCAGTCTGTTTCTGAGAATGAGGCTGTGTAAGATTTTGGGAAAGTATGATTGAAAAGGCTAAGCTTTTGAGTTTGAGGAGTCATTAGAAATTGAAAGGCAAAACTTAACATTTGTTTCTGAAAGACTGAAATAGGGGCATGTTGAGGCGGTAAGAGATTCTAGGGATTATATGTATGGCAAGGAAGTGAGTTGGTTGGAAGGAACCGTGAAATCTTTGTAGGAAGTGTGTGAAAAAGGATTGTTGGTAAAGATTACAAGGGTCAGAAAGTGGAGCCAATTTACTTTGAAAGTAGAGTTAGGTCTCAGTCTCCACAGCTGCCTTATATGAGATGTCAAGAGTGGCCATCAGATCCCTKCTTAAAATTGTGTTTTAGCAACAGCATTGGAGATGTGATACTGTCATATTCTGCAAAGACATGTGTTCTGTCAGATGTTCCTCTTTTGTTGCAGATACTGGAAGCAGGGATGGCTATCCATTGGCCTCTGCTGCTCTTCACAGATAGTTTCCCTGTCTGCTGACTCCTTATTATCTTATAAATCATTAATATGCATCACTGAGAATAATCATTACAGAGAATGCAGCGTAAAGTTCAACATAATTTTTAGGTTTCAGAGACTCCTTTGTCAGTGGCAGCAATCTGAATCTGACACTGAAAAGCTTCCACTCTACTTTCCCAGTACCTCGGCATGGTCAGACAGCTGCACCCTGCAGGAGTGGTGGTATTTTGCTGTACTTACCTACACTTAYATCTTCAGTGCATATGTTAAAAAAATGCCTGTATAAACGTACACCCCTGGGCACACAGAGCAGTATCCTGGGGTTTAGTTTTTCCCTTTATTGAGCTATCCAATAACTATTCAGCCACAGTTAATGCACTGTGTAAAATCAGACTGAACTGATTTTTTTTTTTAATGGAGAAACCTAAGACATTCCCATTGTGTGTCTGAATGATTCCAGCATGCCTAGCCCATGTACACATTCGTGGGTTCTCCATTTGCCTTTCAGAYTGGGAGAGCAAAGTTACAGGGAAAGGAGGAAAAAATGTCAGCAGTCAGTAGTCATTATGCTCCCAGATCAAGACATCGAGAACTGCCATTGCCAAAATATTTTCTGACYTGGCTCTAAAGCACCAACATGTGTCATGTGCCAGTATATATCACATGAGGCAGAGGTGACTTTCCCCCTAGCCTCAAGGGCAGGATAAAATTTCAGCTATAACTCTCCTTAACCCTTAGAAACTTTCAGATGTGTTTTTATTCAGTAACTTGGCCTTCTAGTCACTTCCTACAAAAAACATATAATTAAATTCCATGATAGTGGAACTGGGATATATACAAAATAGAGAAGGACCCTCTTAYGGTAAATTCATGTTGTTTAAAACCACAGTTTAGCAACATTTGGCAATGATTTACCTATTTTGTTTTTAAATCTCAGTTCTAAGTTACATAATGAAACTGGGAAAGGTGATAGTCTACCTTGGAAAAGATGTTGAAAAAATAGTTGTATGTCATTTGTTTCCTGGAAGATACTGGTGTGATCACGTGTAAGTCAAAAAAGAAAAAAGTGTTCCTTGGGAAAGCACCTTAGCTTTCCATCTTACTACAGGAATCCCTCATTAGCTTTCTTCACTTTCCTGGTTGAATCATGGTTAGATATGCCATCAGAGGTACTCACCTCCTCCTTCTGCCCCCTTAGCACATTCCACACTTATATCAACTCTTTAATTCATACTCTATTTYCTCTGATTTAAATAAAAGAGTTATGATACACATTTGCTGTTGTGATGCAGCTATSTGTAAACTCCCACAAACTAAACCATGGTTATGAAATTACCATATCTAGTAATTTTAAACCATGGAATGGATAGAACAGAGGATCCCCTAAGACTAATATAAGAATGGAAGACATCATACTCATTTCTTGAGTAATGTGTATGGTGCATATAAGCTAATTACAGAAAGCAAAAGAATGCTTTTAATTTGTGAATTTTGCATGTACTTCATCCCTGGTTTTGCCTTGGTGGTGATAATGTGGTGAGGGGCAAATTCCTTAAACTGAGGTCAGATGTGGGTACCTCAAGGAAGAGGTCAGAGGAAGAAGGAATAGAAACACTGTGAGGGTCTAAGATTAGAGTCTGCTTCACAAATGTGCATCCTTGGGAATAAGGCCTCCAGATTGCAAGGTGTATTCAGTAATGGCATTTCTTAGCTTGACTCTGAATTGTCACTTGCTGTATGATTTTTAACTATTTTTATGTGTAACAGTAGATTGGTACTGACATTAAAAAAGAACTGATGAAAACATTTGGGGAGTTGAAGAATGCCTTCATTACTCATCAGATAGCTATTGCTATAGCTTCTTAAGGCAAGAAGCTACAGCYGGAACAGCTATGACATTGAAACAGTCTGGAAACAGTGGCCAATGATTTTTTTTTTTTAATTAAATGAAAGTAGTCACTTTCCTCATGTTTCAGGCTGGAATGAGAAATAAGGTAACATTAGTCAGTTTGGGCATAGATACATTCTTTTCACTCTTACCTGTGGATGAGCCACAGATCTGTGAAAATTCTGCTATGTGCGCAGCTCCCGGGATACCTTCTTGATTATTTCTGTATTGTTCTGTGCTTGGTTCCCTTCTAGGAAGCAGGTTGCTTCCTTCCAGCAGTGTTGCTGGCTCCACTGGAAAAGGAAAAGKCAGCAAAGCAGATGCTCAGCACCATAATCCAGTAAGTGCTTTCACAAAATGTTTCCTTCTCAATGTCACAGAGATAAGGATGGGAGAAAAGAGAGGGACTTGATTTAGGTGTTGCTTGCTGAGGGTTGAAAGGGCAGTAGGAAGGTGCTTGCAGGGGGAGGTTAAAGTGATGCCTTGTTCTGCAGGCTTCCATTTTGTGCTGTGTGTGATGTCAGCGCTGGAGGACTGCCTTCTGCACACGGGGTGAGAAGCACAGGTAATGGACATGGGAGGAGAGCCATGGGCCCCTGGCCAACCTTGCCTCACTGAAACAGTGCAGCAAGTGCTGCACAACTTCACAAGAAAGCGTTTGTCCTTTGACTTCCTCCCTAAGCAATCTTCCACAGCYACCAACCCTGGTGTGTCAGATTTACCTAAGCTCTCCCTTTCTTTGTTGCCTCCTCCCTTTCAGGGAACAGCATTTCCCATTGAGATTCTGGCTCTCTGCCTAATCCAGGCAGTTTCTATCTCTTTGATTGTACAGTTTCTTTTGCTTAGAAGACCTTTCTCTGTGCCTAACCTCTGCTTTTWAAAGTTTCATTACTTTACAGAACCCCTTTTTGTTGCTCATTTTTGATGTTGTGTCTGTTTCTACACTTGCTTATTTGCTTTCAGCCTAGCATTGGTGAAACCTATTTGTCCATGCCAGTTTCACAGCTTTTCCAGACTTGGGAAGTAAGACTTAATTTCCTGGTGAGGTCTGTAATAGAGCAAAGAGGGACACAACTTCAGGTTTGTTCCCTAGAATTCATAGTCTGGTTTTGCCTCTGTTGCTGAGTCTCTTTGCTCCACGTCCCCTTCCTTGCCCAGGATCTTCCCTGGCCTGACAGCTAAACAGTTGCCTTGAAAGTGAGGCTCTCACTCAGGAACTAGTTTGGTGTATAGCTGAGTAGAACACGTATCATCTTGATGGAAGAAAATTCTTCCAGCTGTTCCTCAATATTCCTAAATAGCTGGACGTTCTTATAATTGCTGTTTAGATCCTCAGTGCTCAAGTTTTAGCTGCCCTGCCACCTTGTGGCATTCAGAGCAGTCATGTAAACAGTTCAGCTCCATGTGGTGATGGTGGCCACTGGTGCCACAGCAGATCAGAGAGGGGAGCCAGGTGAAGAAGCTRGTACTCACCACTGAGACTGCTTCGGTGTCACAGTGTTGTGACAAAGGTCAGAACTGAGCATGACAGTGCAGCTGCCAGCCAGTGTATACTGGGGTCATCACCCAAGTGTCTGCCAAGGGCTTGGGCTCACAGCAGGTCTCTGTAACATGGGAGCAAGGTTGTCTAAATGGGGCAGAGCTCCCTCAGAGTTCTGCTCCCAAGCAGGCAGATTTTGCTCAAAGTAGGTGTAGAGTCAGAATTGCAACAATACGCAGACTCACTGATACAAAGGCTGTGGTTTTGCATTTGSTGGTGGCTATTACAGGCAATAAGCAATGTGTCTCAGTAGTGCTCAAGTATTATTTTAGTACCTAAGGTTTTGAGCATTTAATTTACACTGATTTGAAGTAGGTTGAAGATCGTTTAAGATAATTGTGTGAAATATATTGCAGTCTGTAAGACCCATCTCGTGTGGTCCAGCTGTCAAATCAACAATGTTCTGCTGCAAAGGCTGGTTATTTTTCAATCGATCTGGTTCAAAGAACAAAGTTCCATGAGACTTTGGTTTTCACTGTGAGATTATTTCCAGATGTTCTTTGAATTCTCACCAGCTTCTCACCAGAGTTTATTATTTCCACAAAAGGGCATTTTTACACCCACTTGTGAGACAGCACTACTGGCCTAAAGTGATGTTTTAGTCATTCAGTTTAATCCCAACTTCTGAATCAGTTTGATAACACAGATTGGAGACTAGCAAGTTTCAGGGAGAAATGGTAGAAAATATCTTTAACATGGCTTCAAGGGACTCAAAGAAACCTATGGCACCCACATACATGGTAACTTCCCTGTCATTCTAATTCCTCCGGTCCCTCATAAAGACTTCTTTAAGTTCTAGGCTGGATTTGCCCARAGATGCACTGGTAGAAAGGAGGAAGGACTCCTCCAATTCTAGGGTATTTTCTGATTAGATGAAAGAAGTAAAAATTCTTTTTGGATAGGGGAACAAATGATACTCCCACAACACTTACTGCTGTAAAAACATGAAAGATATAGATTTTTTTTTCTGATGCTTTGTTCCAGGATTTGCTGTTCAAGTGAAAACACATGAATATGCTTTACCTTAAAGTTCAGATAAAGACAAAAAAGGAAATTCCATCTGCTGCTGTTCCATTCAGTGATGCATCAGAGACAGCGTGGAATCATTGAGAGATCAAACTTCATATAAATTAAATTTCCGTGTGTTACTCCAAGTCAGCCAATACAATGTCAAGCTCAAACTGTTTCCATGTGAAATTTCTTAGTTTTATTGTTTGCACACCTTTCCCTCTATATGATGGGTAGTCTCTCACAGCCATATCCAAATCGCCTTTGGATAGGCAGCAATTAGGGAAGCAATTAGCAGCTGAGGAAGCAAAACAGAGTCTAGTTCAGTCACCAGCTAAACCTGCAGTGGTGTTCACCACTGTCCTCCAAAAACATTACTGTGAAACTTGCATTAGTTAAAAGCCCCTGCAAGGTTTGGGGTTGGTGCCCCAGAATGCATGTGTGTGGTGGTTTCCTCAAACGCCAGTCACTGAAATGCAAGGTGTATCAAATATTGTCCAGGATGGGGACAATTTCCTTCTGAAATACTTCAARTTTCCTTTTGAAATACTTGATTGGTTCCCTAGACTCTTCTTTGGGCTGGAACTGTGTCCTTTTCAGTTGCCATGATGCAAAGTAAAAGGAAGCATGAATATTTTATCCTGTGCTTCTAGTGCCTGTGTAATACATTGGATTTAAAATAAAAGGAGAATGTGTCCAGCTTCTCTTAGGTTGTGTGTGTGTTTATAAAGGACAAGCAGGAAGACATGAGAAACACAGAGATCACAGTCCAATAACTATGTAATCATCGTGTTTTTTGGGTGAAGGAAAGAAAAACAACCAGGAAAGAAGAATATTCACTCTGCAAGAAGTTAGATCTTTAATCTTTAATGTTAATCTTTGATCTGTTGAAAGAAAGGAAGCACACTGRTATTGGTAAACACCTCACCAGGCTGGTAATACTGGCAAGCCTTGAAATTCTTCAAAATTAGAGATGAGACCAAACTGTAAAGTTTACTGTTAAGGATAAGAAAGCCATCTCTCCATAAAATTGAGTACATTCAGATAATCACTGAAGATTGACATGTATTTTTTCCTTCCTGTATATTTCCCCAGGACWTTTCACAGCTTGGGGCTTGGAACTGGTCCCAGCCATTTTTCACCTGCAAGAAAAACCAGCACAAAAGAGACAGTTAAATTGTAATCCATAAAGGTGATTGGCCGGTCATTTTTCTTCAGTAGAATTACTGTTCCTGCTCCTTTGCAGGTTAACTGCTGGTGATGGAATACAGATTTATATCTTGTTTGGCGTGCTTCAGCCAGCTCCATAAATCTTTCACTGTCTAGTCACAACTGAAACTGTACAGAAGAATTATTTTCCTCTATTACAGATGAGAGATTCTGCAGATCTGGAGTATTCCACATGAGGGTCAAATCAATTCTTTTTAGGACTCCCTTTTGGGGGTGCTGGGGGTTAAAAAGAAGCAAAAAAAGGGTGGAAGGTTGGGGAGTCAGAAAATCAAAAGGAAAATSTGGTTAAGTCCTTGGAGTTGGAACTAAAAACCAGGCCAAAACATTCCAGTCAGTATTAGTGACTACTGTAGTGGGTGTTGGGTACTCCTCTGCCTCACTCCTGTGTTCATCAAGAATATTTTAAAAAATCAGGAACTCATCCAGAAGATTAAAAAAAAACTCAAAAAAAAWTCCCTTCTGTTTAAGCCTATGACTAATACTAATTTACATTAATTAATACTTTCTGCTGGATGTTTTCAGCAAATGCATCAGAGCTAATTATGTGCAGAACTCTTTCTAGTGACCTTCTCTCTCAAGTGCCAAATCTTGAGCTCAGTAGTCAGATGTCCTCAAACTCATAAAAACACATGACTTTATTATTTATCACAACCTATTTAAATCTCTTAAAAAATTGAAGTGCATATGCCATTAACAGAAAAATAAAAAGAAGGATGGTCAATATATTAATAGCTTTTAAAAAGTTGTGTAGGTAGAGGCAAGTTGCAGATTAGGGAGCTGTAATAATGTGCTTTTACTAAGAAGGAACAGATAAAAAATGAAATGTAAAAACAATAAAAGAGAAAAAAACAGCACTAGCCATARTCTTAATCTTAGCCAAGACCTGATGTCCAGTACCAAAAGGTTACATATGAATATTTTGAGAACTAAAGGGTTTCAGAAGTATTTTGAGAATGGCACATGGAGCACAAAGCCTTGAAGCATACCAAGACAGGATGGTGAACTCAAGGTACTTCTTGTCTGGAAAAGAACTGTACATGTGATCACTCTAAGTGTACGAGACAGATTTCCCTCAGCAGTTTCATTCCAGGAGAAGGATAACCATTATTTAACATTTGAAAGCCCTTAAGAGTGTTTTACTCAGCTGCATTATTCTTTCATTCTTTCATTAAAAGAGGGTGAAAGCATGAAACCAAAGTGGTGTTACGAGTTGGACTCACCTATAACATTGCCCAGCAGCTCTATACGATCAGAGCCAAAAAAGAGATGAGGTTCCCCATTATAATGTGCCACAACAGAAGGCATCCCAAATGCCTGTTGACACATGGAGACAAGGCAGAGAATGTTATAATGAGAGAATTTCTTGCACATACATCATCAATCTGGAAGAATAAATCCCAGTAATTTTACTTTTTTTCCTCCCTTTTCACCTTCTTCATTCTTCAAAATACGTCTAATGAAGCCACCAGAAAGTGACTCTCCAGAGCCTGTGTGCCCCTTTTGAAGGAGCAAAACAAGCAACCTGAATGACCCACAGTTCTATTTGAGGTAGTGATAAATGGTCTCTCTTAGTTCTGSTCCTGTCCCCGCTCCCCAGCTGGAATGAGCTGAGTGGGTCAATCTTGTTTTCCCAGATGACAGTGAAATAAACTGCCACCAACAGCGAAGTGGCTTTCACACACTGAAAAACAAGGAGCACCCCAAAGAGATGGTCTGTATAGTGCTTTCTAACCATCATCCTCATTGTTCCTTGCTTCCCTGTATTCTTAGTAGGGAAGGAATGCATAGGTGTGAAGCCCAATGCCACKGGAAGCATCTCACCCCGTATTTTAGTGCTTCAGCTGTTGTCTCTTTCAGCCGGTCCTTCACTGTAGGGGTTGCAGTCATTTCAAGCGCCTTCTGGGAGAGCTCTGCTGAGAGCCCAGCCTGCCGGGCAACCTGACAAAAGATGATATAATTAAGAATACTCTAACAGTAAACATTCTAATTCCTGCCATGGTCTAATTAATTCAATCTTTAGTATTTTCACCTAAGGTCTATTGCCAAAAAAGATTCAAAATACTCTTGAAGCACTTGCACGACTGCCTTGCTGTATTCCTAACCTATTCATCATTTTACAACTCTCAGATACAAAGTAGAAGAGACATTTTAAACTTCCAAACCCCAAATCTGCACTTTTTTTTCCCAGGAGTCTAAACTGAAGAAAAGAAAAAAAGAATCTTTGATACAATGACTCATCACATAACTTACAAAAACCCTCAAACTGGTATTATGAAAAATGAAATCTTACTGTACAAGCCTGCCAAGACAGAAGCAGTTTGTGTGACAAATGTGGCCACATGGGATCTGTAAGTGACATTGCTTGAAAGACACTGTAAATCAAAGAGGTTAAACAGTTGCTGGTGTTAGTGATGTATCTTTTTCACCTCCTCAGTGCCTCTGCCACAAACAAATGAGACAAAGTAGCCAAAGTTAAAGGGCCAGTAAGGGCCAGTTTATCCAGTAACAGTGAATTACAAGTGCCCCTTTTAATAAAGCATTTCACAGAAAAAAAACCACCAAAACCACCACTTAACTTCCATGTCATCTACCTGAAGGATATGCTTTTTTGTTTCTTCTAAAAAAAACCCAAAACACTAAACCCCAGTATTGTCCATGGACAAGTAATTCTGCACGTGTAGATGTTAATGACTCTTTCTTTCAATCACTTCTTTTGTTTAGCACCCACATTTTCTTGTACCTTCTCCTACTTACACATCAGGGAGAAGAGGAGCTCTTTTTGACTGTGCTTGAACAGAAGATWAAACTGGACTAGAACAACATGCTKTGTATGATTGGTAGCCAYATGTTTAGACTGCAGTATTTACACAGTGATGTAGCATGGGGTCCTCACCATTTCAGGGCAGAAAGAGTATTTAAGTAGGCTGGGGCAGAATTCACATTATACATTGTTGCTAAAACAATTTATGTGAAGTTACTRCTGATTGAATAAAGAAGTAAAAAAATACTAAGGAATTATTATAAAGTAAAAAAAAAATCAATTTTTCTGACTGATGTGTMAAATAAATTCACCTGTAAAGACTTAGATTAGTGGGCTGGGACTCCTCACCCAGCTTTGAATGGCAAATTTCTGGAAGAGAGGGAAGTCTAGTACTTGGCTGCAGGAGTGAATGARGACAGACATAAACAAGGGAACACCTCCCTCTGCCTTGGTGAACATGGGGATGCTCATTGACTGCCAAACTGACTAAATCACTACATTTAAATTAATTACTAAATTAAAACTAACTTTCATGCCATTACAGCTTTTCCTGTAATAAACAAAATCGAAACAGAAAAATTAAATACATCAAGAGTATAATTTCCAGGCATACAAAAGGGCAGTACAGCACTGAGCTTAATAGAAAGCTTGATTCCATCACTCCAAGRAAAGTCAACTTCCCTGAATGTTAAGATTTCACCTGAACATTTCATATARCAGCAATACCTCAGTGCATTCTGGAGAAACTGTTTATACTCTCATGACTCAATAAAACAGTATCAACAGATAACTCATTGTCCAGCCTGGGCATCTTGCCACATGAATTTACAAAAAAAAAGATGAATTCTGGTTCTGAGTCTTGTCTGCAAAGCATGACAAGAAAAAAATACCCAAAAACATTCCAAACTGAGCTGCTAGGGAAACTAAACATTTTTTTTTTTCTCCCTGAATTTTTCCATACTCTGAGTGTTCATTTGACTAAGCTGTGTTTATATATATTCCTGATCCAAGTCATCAGTACGAATTTCTTATCAGAAATGCACAAGCACCAAGAAAAAGGAGACACTTACAGCCAATATGTTCTCTGGCTGACTGATGTCTTCATGCTGGCAAAAGAATAAAATACATAAATCAGTATTTAAGAAACAAAAGCTCAGCTCTGGATTCAAAAGCAAAATAAAATAGAAATGAACCCAATACTAGTTGCTGGAGAAATTACCTCAGAATAGGTCTTAAGTCACCTAATCTAGGAACGTATTAAAGTGTTTTCTGATATGAACCACTGATCACTCAGCCTGTTGGATTCACCAACAATGAACAACCAATGTGTACCTAAAAGAAGGCAAATCAAGCTGACTATAAGCTTGCTCTTTTCATACTGGCTCTTGAACAATGGTGACCTTAAGTTCCTGCTATCGCTTTTCATTAAAAGACATTTTCTTCCTCTTGCTGGAATTCCACATTTGAATGATGTGGGACACGAAGGTGACAGGGTCAAGAAGTTGGCTGCATAAAATACTGACCTGTGAATAAAACCGCATCCAGAACTCTCTAGATAAGGGCTCCAGGTACTGTGGGTTTGTCATGTCAACGGCTGTGATAAAGCGCATGGCTGGCAGAGTGCCTGGATTCAGGGGGAGACAGAGACACACTGAGACAAGGCACAGGATCAGAAGCACRTGTGGTCTGCAAAAGTGCTACCTATGAACAGTGTGTTCTCCTCTGAAACAGCCCTGAGAAACTCAGTCTGTACAGTAAAGCTCATAAATGGTTATGATCACAGTTATCTCCCATGCTAACATATTCAGAGCCATATTTCTCCAGAAATTTCTTTCACAGCTAAGAATGCATAGACTTCACACTGCTCATGGATTCAGGAAAAGGCTGCACAGGGAATTCATCTTCACCTTTACCTTTAGGAAGAACTCAAGCCAGAAGTGCTAGAGATGAGAATTAGCTAAGACTCTTCCTTACTTGTAGCCATGATACGCTGGAAGTCAGCTCCGGACATGTGTAGAGGCACTTGGTAGTATTTTGCCATCCGTTTTACATCCTTCAGCATGTATTCAGCACGCTTTGGTAACATTGCTGGTGGCTTGTTACCTTTAAGAAAGAGATTTCTAACTATACTAACACTGCACAAATTCTGCCTCATTCATACATGTGCCCAAGGAAGAATATAATTTCATATTGACTTACTGAAACATACTCAGCTTTTCCAAAGACAATGCTATGATTTAAACAAGGTTTATTTCAGTTTTGCACAGATGAACCCTTTAAGATAGCTGAATCAATTTTAAACCACGGTGCAAATGTTCTAGCAGGGATTTTTTTTTTATTCAGACAGATGACGTCTAAGCTAGAAAACTCCTAATGCATATGTAAACCAATGTAAAGAGTTGTTAATTTATGAGTTATGAGTTATAACTCTGGGTGATCTAATAAGGTCATGAGTACTGTTTCAAGACATACTTGCATATTACATGTGCAAGTGTTCCACAAATGAATTCTGGTTTAAAATCTAACTCTAGGAAAACACTCCATATCAAATTATTATTGTATTTTAGAACTGATGAACTTAGGCACAGACTGACTGTGTAGTTTCTTGCCACATTTCTCAATCCCTCTGGAGCTCCACAATCCTATAGTTAATTTGTAACTGGTGGCAAAACTTAGTTCAAAGTTGGGTCTGTGCGAGCTCTGCATGCACCAAGGGCCTGGGCACTAGTGCTCTGCTAGGGAAGAAGGTATTTCCCTAAGGAGCGCGTGTCCCTGTACTCCATACCAGTTTGTTGCATTATGCCACCCAGGAAGGCTGGACGCAAGCGCAGGTCAATGTTCCAGATGTTCTTGTACCGGCAGAGAACCTGCAACATGAACGAGCAGTGACAGATTCACAGTCAGCGATGTCTGTAGAGCTGTGCAGCTAAGGCAGTAAGCAAGCACTGCAGATAAATCCTCTCCTATTGTATTAGGGCTAGTCCTAAAGCCTTTTCTGGATGCTGCCGAAGAACTGCGATCTCGCAAAAACTCAGGGGTGTGTATTCGTGTCACAACTGTCCAAGTCTAAGCAGCGGTAGGGRAGGGAGAGATCAAACTCGTGAGTGGACGCTCGCACTTGTTAAACATGGAAACTCTGCCTGAAGCAAAATGTTCAGCGCGAACTCCTACACTGCCGTTTGGCTCGGACACGCTTCCCCGGGTCCCTGGATGTCCAAACGCGAGGGAGAAGCCCAGGCAATGCTGACAAGTGGGAGCCAAAGTAACTGCGAGGCGGGAAGGGCACTGCCTGCGGCCGGCCGGGCGAGCTGCCCTTGAGCGGCCCTTCCGAAGGGGAGGCGGCGACGGGAGCGGCCGGGGCCAGAGCCGCACAGGGCACCGCACGGCCCCGGAAAGGGCCGCCCTCCCTCTGCCGCACCCTCACCTCAAACCCCAGCCAGGAGTAGGGGGAGATCACATCGTAGAACAGCTCCACCACCGTCCGGCCCATGCTGGCCCCTTCCCGTCCCGTTCGGCCGCGGCACCGCCCCGGGCAGGGAGCGGGCGGGCCCTTCCGCCGGGCGGGACGGAGCTTCCCCCGCCCGCCCCTCGGGCTCCTCCTCCCGGGCCTCCCCGGAGCCGCTGCCCGCCGGGCCGGGCCGGCCGGGGCGCTTCGCTGCCTCCGCGGTGAATCCCGGCCCGGGAGGAAGAGGAGGGCTGGGATCGCCAGGGGCTGGCAGGGAGCCTGTGCCCTTCTCCATGGCGAGGACGGGGCAGAGGGGGCTCCCGAGGAGGGCAGCGGAGCTGGCGCTKAGGAGCAGCCCGGCACGGTTCCTGGGATCACGGCTTCTCTGCGGAATTAGCAAGCGATTTACGTGTCACTGGCCCTTTTATCCCCCTACCCTCGTTATTCCCAGATTTGTTCCTCCTCCATTCACCTAAGCCCTTCCCTTTCCCCACCTTTGGTTCCTCCCCTGCCCATCCCACAAGAATCCTGTGAGATCCCAAAACGCTCTCCCCGTGCCGCAGTTCCCTCCTGCTCGCAGCAGCCGCTTTTAGTCCTATGTGTGATCTGAAACGTGCTCCTGATCGCTCCTCTGGCTGTAATCTTGAGTTTTCAACAAAGAAGCTTCTAAATGATGAGTGACTTTAACTTAAGGATGAAAAAGCTGAACTGCCATCAACAGTTTATGACCCCTCACTGAAGCCTTGCTTAATACCCGAGTACCCGGCAGTGAGCCCAGTCGTTAAGAAAGGATTTGGAAAAGAGCTGGGAAACTTCAGTGTGAAGCATTTACCAGGCATGTTGGTAGACATGGTTGCAAAAAAGGAATGAGTAAGCAACTGAATAAAAAAATCTATTTGGAAGAATTGGTAGGGCTTCTCCTAAGGGAGATCCTRCCTTACGTTTTCCTCAAGGGATCAGAAATACTGCAGAGTGACTTCTATGAGAKGCTATAAATCCCTGCTTCAGGCATCCTCTGGGCGCTGTGGGATCCTCTTTCCAGGGCACTGGAACCRATGGATGTGACTGCTGCTTTCTCGTGTGCTGGTTCATGTGAGGCTGAGTGTGTGTCCCAGAGAGATAAATACGTACACACAGAGACAGCTCCAAGCTGAACACACAGACTGCAACAAGCACTGCTKCCTGTAACCCCACTCACAAATAATTTCCTTTTGTACCTGATTTTTCTCAAAAGTTTGAAATCTGGATTTGTAATGTGCTCAGCTGCAGCCTGACTCTCTTGGGTTTCATCCTGTGAGCATCTGTTTTCATCCCTTAGAGCAGAACTTTTGCCTTAGAGATCCCACAGTTAAGCCACTTTACATCTTTATTATTCTTGTGTTCTGTTAATATGCTTTCAATCAAATTGCTCCAATTATCCTAAAAATTTCCTTGTACAGATCACAATCAAGTCCCCRCAAAATGCTGTAAGAGTTTGGCTACAAATTTTAATTCATTCCTGTATCAGTCCRCTTGTCATGCTGAGGATTATATATGCCTGTCACCTGGGGAATGCTCATCTCAACCACATCTTGCCAATGACACCAGTTGTCCCCAGGGGTTCCTTCTTCCTGGTCACTGCCTGGTGCACCTGGACAGAAGTTCTGCCCTGTGCAGATAATTCTGACAGATATAAATAGCCTTCTACACCTTTTTTTTTCTGGCACAGAATTGGTTGCCCCTGTCAGTTTCTGCTGCCTTTTCCCGTTCCTTGCAAACACTTTCCACTTTCCCAGTTTTCCTGTTAGTGAGCCAGGAAAAGTAGATAGCATGATACAGTTAAATCCCATGGGTGCATGGGTTTCCCTCCTCCTGTGCCTCACAGCATGCCTGCAGCACACCTGCCAGGTCTTGTTGATGCTGCTGCAGAAGSAATCAGCAAGAATTTCTTTCTCAAAGACTTGGCTGAAACAGAATTTTGGTGATTTTCCTGCAGTTCGGTCTTCATTCCAAATAATCCCCAGAAAGTTGTCCCTTGCATCTGGGAGGAAAAGCATAAATTTGAGATTTTTGAACAGTTTCTGACAAGAAAATAGCATAATTTCAAAAATTAACTCAGTAGAAAAATAGTTAAAATTAAGGTATTTAAAAATAAAAGGAAAAAAGTGTCCAGTAAGTCTTGGCAACAAGGAATTATTAGATTTCCTAAAGAGCCATGCATATTTATCTTCTAAGTATTAATCACTTCTCTACAATAAACCAAACTTGTGCAAACTAATCCTAAATGCAGGTTGTTCTGGTTCTGCTAGTCCTGGATTAGCATACAACAGAGGTGTATTTCCAAAAGTAGAACAGCTCAGCAGTCTCTATCAGTGTCCCAGCTCTTCAACATCRTCATAGCCTGTGTCTTCAGGAGCAGGGGATGAAGGTCTCTCAGCCTCAGAGGTTCTATTTGTTGGACTCCAGCCTGAAAACATGAAGGGAAGAACACTGAGATAGATAAATGCACATCTTGTGTGTATTACCTCTGTATGGTTGGGCAGCTGTCAGATGTCTCCTCCAAAATTAGAGCCTTAGACAGGAGTGATTATGAAAGACGTGAGAAATGCTTGTGTCACTCTGCCTTCTCATGCATATCTGAGGATCAAGCTTTATACGCAGTGTTAAAATGAATATATTCCTGGGCTGTTAAAAAAATCTCTAATGTCTCTTAAATCACTTTGAGTCTTATATTTTGATTATTTTTCCATGTCTCCAATAGGCCAGAAGTATTTGTCACCAGCCCAAAAAGTAGGCTTCAAATCAGAAGGTGTTCCACAGTTATATTGAATGGACAGATAAAGAAAAGCCTGTCTTAAATATTTTTTTTGGTAATTCTTTCTGGATTAGATGGACATGACAAAATTTAGTGCTAGGTTAAAAACCTAGCTGAATCCATCCTCCTGGCACTATCCACTGTCTTTAAGAACTCACAGAGAACAGGCTCTGGAAGACTGGGAAAACATGACCAACACATGCTTATTTTTAAACTGGCATGTGTGGGAGAAGAAAGAGGATTAGGAGTTACAGAAAGCTCAAGTTTAGAAAGATATGAGAGTAAATAAACTATTTATAAGGACACAGGAGAAAAAGAACAAAAAGGTAGATAACAGATTAATCTGTTCATCAAAACTAATTTATCAAAACTAATCTCCAGCAGTTAAATCTGTTTTTTCTTTATGATCATCTAACAGTCGTTTTATGAGAGAGTAGAAAAAATTGTCATTTAASTCACACATATGAAATTTCTATACGTACACTAGAGAAATACAGTCTAACCCACACCTCTATAGACTGGGTACAAATTCAGTCAAAAGTGGTATGCTTGGTGTAGCTCACTGTAGCTGCTAAGATTCTTTGGCAGCCCTAAATACAACTAAGTATTCCTCTTAAGTCCTAAGGTAAAAGACACATRTTCTAATTATGTTTTCCAGATGATAACATATTATAGTATAATTCAAGTGATCCTGGCAAACTGTTGATGAACATAGAATGAGATCTAGTAAGGACATGTAGAACACTACAGATGAAGGGAGAACTGCATGATTTGAAAGATCTTTATCTAATGACATGTAGCCTTTTACAGACCAGGATTTGATGTTACATCAGACATTGAGCATTCTCAAGAATGTCTTGTTGTTGGAAAAAAAGGAAGCATTACACTAGCCTCCATAAACAGAAGCATATGCTGTAAGAAATACAGATGGGTCCTTCTGCTCTACCTGATACTAGTAAGATACTGTGCTCTACAGAAATACTGTAAAATTGTGGGTTTGAAACAGGGTTTAGTACAGTAACTATAGGCTATGAAAACTGACAACACTGCTCTTCTAGCCTTACCTGTCCCTGAATCCTTGTTTCTGTCACCTTCTACAGGGATCCCAGTGATTTCCTGTTCATTCTGCCCAGAAAGAGAAGTATCTCTAGGGCCAGGAGCTTCTGTTGCATCATCATAATCATCTCCCAGGGCATTTTCACGCAGTGGAGAGTTCTCTGGAACAGTACAAGTATTAACTGTAGCAGGGAGAGATCTTCCACTACAGAAAGCAGTAGCTGGTGATCCAGCAACACAGGGCTGTACTTCACTGGAATCCATCCCTCAGAGAATCTTAGTGTGCACAGTGTTATTGTATAGACATGTGTTTATCAATAATGCGTATATAAACATAAAAGAAAATCAAAGCTGTTTCACTTCTTACCTAGTAATCAATATTCAATCTGAATAAGAAAAAGAGACCTTATTTGGAATAATTATCTTCTTTATAAGCATTCAAAGCAAGTAAAGAAAAGCTTTTAGTTTATTTTTAACTAAAAAAGTCCTTAGTATAAGTAAAGCAATAGATAATAAAGACATAGTGCAGCAGTCTGGGACATGGGCAACTGAAGTTCAAAACTGCTTGTGCCTTTGGCAGTTGATCTCTTGGACACCAGGCAATTGCTAAGAGAGCTTTTTGATCAGCTCTAGGAAAATGCAGTTCTTCTCCAAACACTTGTTTTCCATCAGATATTTAAAATTTTAAAAAAAAAAAAAAGCCAACAACAAAGCAAATGTCCCCCACCACAAGCTCCACAGCTAGGAATCTGTATTTTCTTCAGATTGCTTGGGCTAAAATTCCCTGATAAGCTCTAATTGCATACCATTGGTTTTATTTGAAGTGTGTCTTTCCTCTCTGAATTCCCCACATTTTTCTCAGAAATAAAGCAATAGCTTACAAGCTATTACTGTTGCAGTGCCTGGGAGAAGCAGTTGTCAAATTACTGGATTCATGTGACTGGATCCTGTTTAGTGTGTGCAGTACTACCAGCAAACATTGATTTTTCATTTCTCATACAGAATAGAAAACTAGAACTTGTATATGAGATTGTATGGCATTCTTCTACCACAAGAGTTACACAGAAAATTTTAGCTCACATCAAAACATCACTAGGACATGAATGTTAAAAGTTACCCTGATTTGGGGTCTCTTTCTTTGTACAAACACTGTTTTTCATTACCTTGAGTTGTCCCAGGACCATTTTCTTCATCACTATCCCCTCTATAAAACTGTTCCATGGGTTTTGAGCTCTCTGAATAAGAATCTAGGYAA